CAATATATAGTAACGAGAATGTTAAAAATGTCCCGACTTCTGGGAATTTGCCCTTAGGAAACAAAGCAAAACAAGGGAAAAGCTACCTGAAGGAAGCTGGCACCAGAGCAGTATAAAAACAGGCTATACCCAACTATAAGTGAATTATACCATAGAGGCCATCCACTTGGTAAAATATTACATAACCATGACAACACTTTGAAGTTTTGATGTAATCTTGAGTGAAAAAAGACAGATATAGGCCCCTTTAATGCTATAAAATTATGAGGGCAAAGACTGACCAAGAACATACAAAAATAAAAATAAGCTACTGTTCTTTACTGGTTTCCAGGCTTTTCTAACTCAGCTTTAAGTGTGCTGTAGCCTCCTTTCCCAGCCAGTCAGATGGCAGCCTCAAAGTCGGAGCAACATACTGGCCAGTCAGTTTCTTGACATTTCTTTAAGGAAGTAGTTTATTCAGATGCACTACATTAAGCCATGACCTATAACCTGCTGCTTCAGCTTAAGTGAAAAGGCAGGGATTGGGAAGGAGAAGAGAAGGGAGAATCCATCTTTTTTTCATGGTCTCATGTTTTAGACCCTAAAGCACAGCCACATGGACCTCCAGAGTCACACCCTGCCTTCCGTGTCAGTAGCCCTGAGTACTTTTCTTAGGACATCTTGTTTGAGTTCAAGACACACAGTAACCTTAATCTAATCCAGTTGTGAATCCAACGTCTCAGCTGTGTCACTGCAAGTTCTTCCTGTGGGGAGGACAGAATCCACTCAAGGACTGACCACGATGACCAGTGAACGGCTCCTGATGAACAGATGAAGTCTAGGCTGGGCCCTGCAACATTTGGGCACCAGCTGTTTCTTAACACTTCAACGCTGAAACAGCCCATAAAAAAAACTATGGGTGTCCCATAATTTAGCATTAACTTCTTTTCTAAAATAGGGTGTAAAGAAATGAACTGTCAGCAGAAGGTAAGGTTCCACCCTGGCGTGGCTTCTGCTCAAGAAAGCCATACCCAGCTGGCTGGCTGATGCATGCAAAGGACAGAGACAGGATGATTTCATTTGCCAAAAGCAGGGCTCATATTATGATATTCGAGGGTGAAGTCATCTTTATTCCTATCATTGCACCTTTAGAAGCTTCTTGTGGGGCAGATAACTTTATTTACTGTTGGTGTAATGCCACCATCCAAAGATAAACTAATCAAGGTCAACCTATGTCATGTCCATCTATTCTAATTTGGTTTGCTTGATTAAATTATTCTATATGCATAATTTTGGAGGTATTTCTCATTCCCCTTCAGAGAACAAACTATCAGAGAAAATTATTAGCAGATGTCTCTGTGACCCTAATGTAACAAGGACAACACTAAACAAATATTCAATGCACACGGCTTTCAGGTATTCAAATTTCCTTTGGCCCTGCCTCCCTGTTTGGAACAAGGAGGGAGAACAGTACGTGGAAAGCTCCTATCATACTGGGTGGAGAACACTGGTGGCTCACTGGTTTTCTTCCCCAGACAAGTCAGGCAGTATTAATCCCGCCATGAAAATGGAAAGCTGAAGCACACAGATATAAACGATTGGACCAAGGTCAAACAGCCGGGGTGAACAGAGATTCAGAACCCGGATATGATATGGGGACTCTAGGCAAGATGGTGTTCCATTAGCTTCCAGGCAAGAAATGGAAAACCAAATTCTCCTGAAAAAATTACTCCATAAATATCTCTTTAAAATTATTTAACACTTTTAATAAAACAGCATGTCTAAAATACTCCATATTTTCATCTAAATATCTGAAATCTTCGAAGGTGAGGAAAGATTCCACCGCCAGGTGACACAGGAACAGATAATGACAATAAAACGAACATTTAATGTGTGCTAAACATGTACTGGGAACAACATGAGTTGACCCAATTTATGCTCACATCAGCCTTACAGCAATTATTATTGCTATTTTACAGCTGAGGTTCAGAGGCACAGAGAGGTTGAGTAACTTGCCTGATGTTCCACAGCTAAGAGGTGGCAAGGCCAGGATCCCAACGCCGGCGTCACTTAACCCCTGGGCCCTGCTGCCTCTCCCAACTTAACTTAGCCGCCTGGAGGGGAAGCCAAGGTCAGCCCCCTTTCTGAAGAGCCCCCGCCCTTCAGGAAACAAACAACACGCCCCCGCCCTTCAGGAAACAAACAACACTAACGTTGCTAAACATACCCACTCTTAGAGAAACTAGAAGAGGAATGCGGCTGCAGCAGAAACAAATCGATGGTTCCAGATTATGAAAAAACATTTTCCACAATACTCCAAACTGTGCTCAAAAGTTCTCCTCAAATTTTATCCTTGCTAGTGAATGACATTAAGAGGCAACACATAAATAAAATGCCAAAAGGTCCCGGCAAACAGAAGTTTCTTCGCTTTAGAATGGCTGGGAAATGAGGGGAAAAACCACTGAAAGACTGTCTTTGCCCAGCAGAACAAACACAGGGACAGTGTGTGGGGTTTTCTACTTAAAGGGCTACCTACCCAGAAAAGCAAAGCACTATTTACCTAAGCTTGCCCCAGTCTTTTGCTTCCTTCAGATTTTATTTTCCTAACATTTGTTTTCAATTTAGCATAATTCTTAAAAGTCACTTAAGTTAAAGGAAGAAAAAAAAGGCCAAACAGGTATCTTCCTCTGCATGGCATCATTGTCTTGCCTCATAAAAACCCCTGAACTTCCACCAAGCCCAGTGGTCACTTAAGGAAGGTCATTTTTCCCCTAGACTTCTAATTAGTCACAGATAATTTATTGAGCATCTACTACAGTCAAAACAGATGTTTCATTCATTCAATTTCTCTCATTGCTAATATCCCAGCTTCCTGGATCTGGGGAGACCCAAAGTGGTTTCCCATGAAGGAAAACTCAGACTGGAAAATCAGAGCCAGAAATGTGAAAGTCATCTTATATATACCCTGAAATTGAACCATACACTGAGTGAGGCTGCTTCCCCACACTACTAAGAGCTATGGCTTGCTTGGTCAAATACTTATTGAGCACTTTCTACATATAAGGGTGTAAGAAACTACGGGGTTCCACATTTATTGGCAGTGGCCTGGGATAATGAAGTAAGTGATGCTGAACTAGGTGTCAGAAGAGCTGAGTTCTAATCTTAGCTTTGGCCCTAACTTCCTGTGTGTCCTTGGGGGTCTCCCTTTCTGGGCCTCCATTTTTTTCTCAAAATCTAACATCCTATGATCACTGTTTCCTCAAAACCACGAAAAATATTTATTTTAAATCCTACGATTATGAGAGTCTCCTTTCTGGTCTGGCTAAAGAACCCAGTGGTGAATAGGTGGTTATAAAGGAACACAACAGGAAGTACATCTAGATCTGCCAATTCCCACATCATTAAAGACACACATAACACATGAACCTCCTTTCTCCCAGCCAGGAGAAGGCAGCCCCAGCGTGACAACAGAGAGTAAAATGCAAAATAAGGTCCTCTAAGTGGCAAGGACTGTGGGGTCCACAAGAACAGCTTAGCTGGCATAAGCAGACTTCTCAGCTGCCCAGCACTGGCCATCAGGGAGGTAGACAAAGAAAATCATGCAGATTTTAAAATCAAGCTGCATGACCATTTCTCTAAAGATCGTACCATCAGTTCTGAATAACAAATAATTCCTTTCTCATAGAACAACATTTTGGCAAGACAGCCAAATATATTCCTGAATTCCTGGATATCGTGAACCATGATGTATAAACCATTCTGGTATGGGCCAGGCCAGACACCACTCCCATCATCCTCTCCCCCTCTTCTCTGTGGCTCTCACCCTACTCTCCCTGCTCTTGAAAGGTAATTCTGATCCTTGCCACCCACATCAACACACTACAAAAAGATTTCTATGAAAGAAACTACTTCCAGTCTGTACACTTATAAAATAACAAAAACTATCAAGACTTTGGTAGTCCCTCTCTATTCCAATCCTTAAGGAAACAGAGAACCCATAAGTTGATGGGAAACAAGATTCTGACCATTTTCAAAAAGTCTCACAGAACTTCTACTCATTTTAAACAATCTCACAGGATGCACCTCTGGGTCCGAAAGGGGAAATATCAGGATCCAGCCTTGGTTAGAACACCAGGAAGCTCTGCAAGGGGCAGACTTGACTAGGAGCTATTGTTTTTAGTAAAAATAAGTGTCAATTACCAAGAATCCAATTCGTTTCTGAATCTGGGCTAAATGCCTTTATTTAAACGACCTTTTACAATGCCCACAAGAACTCCATGAAGTAGGAACCATTATTATGCTCCTTTTACAGACAGGAAAATTAACGCTGAGAAGTGAAGGAGGTAACTTAGTGAAGAGCAGAGCCAAAGACAGCGATCCTTCTGAACAGACAAATTGCCCAAGCTCCCCAGCCTCATCCAGCCTTCAACGTCCTCTGTCTGAGGGCGTGAGCTCAGGGTGCCTTGCTCACTCGTTCTCTCCTCAGATGGCCCTCTGATCAGCTTCTGGTTTCATTCCCCACAGCAGAGGCAAACCACTGACTGCTGGGAGAAAACCCAGATGGTCTCAAGGAACACAGCCTGCTCCAAGCAGGTTGGTTGAGAGTCCCCAGCAGCCCTTTGGCATGACCATTGAGGTAAAGCCTCCCAAACTCCAGATGTACCCTGCGTTGGTACAGAATCCACACAAGTACAAAGGAAGCTCAACCTGTTTTGCCCATGAGAACAGGAATGAGTAGCCAGCTTCGGGGCACTGAGGGTATAAACAGATGCATAGTGTCATTTCTGCTCAGAGGATGTTAAAATGCTTCCCAAACATTGATCCATCTATTTTCACAAGGTGCCACCTTTATTTACCACCAATTTACCACCATATTCTCCATAGCATTAAAGAACAGAAGCAAAGCTTTGCACCCAGAGACAGACAAGCTGAAGGCTTCCAGAGGCTGACCACAGTTCTGTGAGATCTGATTTGAAATTTTAAAAACTTATCAACTGAACGAACACATGGTCCTCACTTACCCTTTCTATCTCTTGGAGGTACAGGAGTGCAATGTCCCCTGCCTTCTCATAACACGTGATGACATCCTGTTCCCGATCCACAAGGAGATTACTGGTAGAAGAAGAAATAGGCAACTTCTCTAAACAAAGTCCTAAAAAAAAAATCAACATACAAAAACTGGGTAAGTTGTTTTTCATGGGGCTTAATTTTTTTTTTTTTTTTTTTTTTGCGGTACGCGGGCCTCTCACCGCTGTGGCCTCTCCCGCTGCAGAGCACAGGCTCCAGACGCACAGGCTCAGCGGCCATGGCTCACAGGCCCAGCCGCTCCGCGGCACGTGGGATCTTCCCGGACCGGGGCACGAACCCGTGTCCCCTGCATCGGCAGGCAGACTCTCAACCACTGCGCCTCCAGGGAAGCCCCATGGGGCTTAATTTTTTAATATTGCTCTAGAGGGCCAGATAATATTAGAGAAGCAGATACTCTGCCCTCTCTCTTTAAGGACAAAAGGGAACAGCAAAATGGAGTACCAAAAAGAATATCCATAAGTTTCAGATGAAGGAGGCCCCTATATATACAGAAAGCACCATTTGACTTTGATATCCAGGTTGAGAATTTGATCGGGTACTTCACCATGATTCCATTCAGATCTAACAGAGCTTCTCATTCAAGTATGTCTCAAGGTCCTTAAAGAATTTTTTAAAGTAAGTACAGGTAGGCTCACAGCACAATACTAGGTACAGAGTATCTTCTGTCCCATGATGTACACTTAACCGATTGAACACAAAACATTTCTAAATGCTCTCAGGAGCCTCAGTTACCAGGAAAATCTTCCAACTCTCAGCCCTAGAGTTCTGTAGTGATGACAACACCCCAAGCCACCTCTCAGTTCCAGGCCAAGAAAACACCCAGAACATTGCTGTGTGGGCACATCTTGGGAGATGGAGGGGTTACTCTTTGCCAAGAGAGAGTTCAGGGCTGGGACGGGATATGAAAGCATGAAAGACTGAGAAACAACAATGCTGAGAGGAGCAGCTGTTGTGTAAACCGAGCACCAACCTCAGCCCCTGCTCTGGGCAACCAGGCTGGGGCACGTCGGGCTCCAGGTCCCCGCCTGCAATTGGAGGCAGAGAGGGAGCCCCGCGGGGAGGGTTTCTGCTGTGTCAAGTGCCCTGGGGTACCGGGAAACACACACTGCACACGTTCACTCCACGCACGAGGGTGCGAGAAGCTTCAATGCGGACACAGTCCGGCTCTGCAGCTGGAAGGGGCCAGAGAGGTCCCTGGGAAAGCCACTCATTTTATAGACGAAGAAGCTGAGAGCCATCATGGTAAAGTAAGCGACTTGCCCAAAATCTGACAGGCAGTTAACAGCACAGCAGGAATGAGAACCCAGGTCTGGGGCCTCCCAAGCAACACCTGTCAAGTGAGCTGCTGGCTTTCAGAGCAGACACCACCGCAGAGGGGACCAAACACACCAAACGCCAGCAAGTGACCCAGAGCCTCCCATGCATCACTCTGAGAAGGGCCTCCTCCAAGGTGCTCTTATCAAACTGTGACAGTCCCTCCAGGCTGTAGAAGGTGATAGGAGGTGGTCGTACTGCATGGGAAGGAGAAACCACTTCCATCCACAGGGAGCCCACAGCTGAGGACAGTGTGCCGGGGAGCTCAGAGGTGACCACGTTGTCACAGAAGGTGCGGATCGGCCAAAGATTTTGTTACTGTTTAACAGCTATATTGAGGTTGCGCTTTTTTAATGTTTCATCATGATTTCTTTTGTTTTTATTGACTCTTACTTTTTACTAACTAAAGTCCATCGTTTACATTAGGGTTCACACTTAGGGTTGTGAAGTTCTATGAGTTTTAACAAATGCATGGTGTCATGTATCCACCATCACAGCATCGTACAGAATTGACTCACTGCCCTAAAATTGTGCTCTATCCCTCTAGCCCTCCTCCTGAACCCGTGGCAACCACTAATCTTTTTACTGTCTCTACAGTTTTGCTTTGTCCAGAATATCATATAATTGCAATCATCCAGTAGGTAGCCTTTTCAGATTGGCTTCGTTCACGTAGAAATATGCTTTTAAGCTTCCTTCATGTCTTTTTGTAGGCAGATAGCTAACTTCCTTTTGTCGTTAAATAACATTCCATTTATTCATTATTTAAAGGCACCACGGTTGCTTACAAGTTTTGGCAATTATGAAGAAAGCTACTATAAACATTCACGTGCAGGTTTTTGTGTGGACATAGACTTCAACTCAATTGGGTAAATACCAAGAAGGGGAACTGGTGGATTGTATGGTGAGAATGTGTTTGTAAGAAATAGCTAAATAAATATATTTAATTTACAGATAGCTTTGTAAGAATAAATATTATTGGGTTGGCCAAAAATTTTGTTTGGGTTTTTCTATCAGATCTTATTTTTAGCTTTATAAGGAACTACTAAACTGTCTTCCAAAGTGGCTGTACTATTTTGCATTCCCGCCAGCAATGAATGAGAGTTCCTACTATTCAGCATCCTTGTCAACACTTGGTGTTATCAGTTTTTTGAATTTTAGTCATTCTAGTATGTATAGGGGTGTCTCACTGTTGTTTTAACTTGCAGTTCCCTAATGGCATATGATATTGATCTTTTCTTACGCTTATTTGCCACCTGTATACCTTCTTTGGTGAAACGTCTGGTCAGATCTTTTGCCCTTTTTTCGATTCAGTTGTTTGTTTTCTTACTGTTGACTTTTGAGTTCTTTGTATATTTTGGATACGTGTCCTTTATCAGATATCTATTCTGTAAATATTTTCTCGCAGTCTGTGACTTTTCATTCTCTTAACAGTGTCTTTCACAGAACAGAAGTTGTTAGTTTTAATAAAGTCCAACCTATCAATTTTTTATTTCAAGGATTGTGCTTTTGGTGTGGTCTCTAAAACGCCACTGCTAAATCCAAGGTCACCTAGGTTTTCTCCTATGGTATCTTCCAGAAGTTTTATAGTTTGGCATTTTACATTTAGGTCTACAATCCATTTTGAGTTGATATTTGTGAAAGTTATAAGGTTTTTGTCTATATATATATATATATATATATATACACATATATATATATACACATATATATATATATATATGTGGCACGTGTATGTTCGTTTGTTCCAGCACTATTTGTTGAAGAGACTACCTTTCCCCATTGAATTGCCTTTGCTCCTTTGTCAAAAATCAGTTGATTATAGTCGAGTAGGTCTATTTCTGGGCTCTCTATTCTGTTCCACTGATTTTTTTGGTCTATTCTTTCACCAATATTATGTGTCTGGATTACCAGTATACAGTATATCATTTTTTAAAAATAGCTCTACTGAGAGATAATTTACATGCTATAAAATTCACTCATTTTAAGTAAAATTCAACATTTTTTAAATAAACTCATAGAGTTGTACAACCATCAACACAATCCAGTTTAAGAACATTTCCATCATCCCCAAATGATCAAATGATTGATTGCCCAAATCAATCTCTATTCTCAGCCCCAGCCTCAGGCAACTGTTAATCTGCTTTCTGTCTCTGTAGATTTACCTTTTCTGGACACTTCATAAAAACAGAATCATATAATATCTGGTCTTTTGTGTCTAACTTCTTTCACTTAGCATAATGTTTTCAATGTTCCTCCAAGTTACAGCAATACTCCATTTCTTTCTACTGCTGTATGGATATAGTGCATTTTATCTGTCCATTTGCCAGTAATGGGCATTTGGGTTGCTTCCTTTTTGGCTATTATGAATAATGCTGCTATGAACATTCAGGTATAATTTTCTTGTGTGAACATATATTTTTAATTCTCTTGGGTAAATACCTAGAAGTGGAATTGTTGGGTCAGATAACAAATTCACTTTTAACTGTTTAAAAAACACTTGTTTTCCAAAGTGGCTATACCATTTTACATTCCCACCAGCAACTTATGAGGATTCCAGTTTCTCCACATTCCTGTCAATACTTGTTCTTGTCTGACTGTTTTGTTATAGCCATCTAAGTAGGTGTGAAGTGGTATCTCATTGTGGTTTTGATTTGCATTTCCATAATGACTAATGATACTGACTTTTCATGTGCTTATTTGTTATCCATACATCTTCTTTGGTGAAATGTCTATTAAAATCAGTATTGAGTTTTCTGACCTATGCACAGAGTATGTCTCTTCATTTATGTAGGTCTTCTTTACATCTCTGAGCAATGGTTTGTAGCTTTCAGTGTGCATGCCTTGCAAACCTTTTGTTAGATTTAAGTATTTCATATTTATTATGCTGTTGTAAGTGGTATTGTTTTAATTTTCATTTCCTTTTGTTCATTGCTAACATATAGAAATACAATAGATTTTTGAATAGTGATCTTATATTCTGTACCCTTGCTAAATTCACTTATTAGTTCTACACAATCATGTTGTTTGCAAATAAAGACAGTTTTACTTCCCCCTCTCCAATCTGGATGCCTTTATTTCTATTTATTGCCTTATTGCCTTATTGCACTGTCAAGAACCTCCAGTACAACACTGAATAGAAATGGTAAGAGCAGACATCCTTATCTTATTACTGACCTAAGGGAGAAAGCACTTAGTCTTTCACATGAAGTTTGATGTTAACTATCAGATTTTCATAGATGCCCTTTATTAGGTTGAGGAAGATCCCTTCTACACCAATTTTGCTAAGAGTTTATATCAAAAATGGATGTTGGATTTCCTCAAATCCTTTTTCTGTGTCTATGGGTTGTTCTCTTTTATTTAATCTGGTGAATTAAATCGACTGATTTTCAAATATTAAACCAAACTTCCTTTCCTGAGATAAACCCTATTGACCATGATGTATTAGCCTTTTTTTATATTTTTAGATTTGATTTGTTAAATTTCTGCTTGGAATTTTTTCATCTATGTTCCTGAGGAATATTTGTCTACAGATTCCTTGTAATGTCTCTGTCTGGTTTTGGGATTAGGGTAAGTCTTAACCTCATAAAATGACTTGAGAAGTATTCTCCTCCCTTCAGTTTCCTGGAAGAGTTCGTGTAGAATTACTATTTTGTTCTTAAATGTTTGGTAGAATTTACCAGTAAAGCCATCTGGACCTGGAGTTTTCTGTGTGGAAGCTTTTTAACTATAAATTCCATTTCTTTGATATAC